TAGCGGTTCGAAAGCATGCAAATGCGAGTAGATAAATAGGGACCACCTCGGTGGGAAGGTAACAGTGTTCCGTGTCTAAGTCGCACTGGCCACGTGACCACGGAAAATTGTCTTCGGACAAAAACACTGGCTCTACGGCTTGGAAACGGATGAGCACTGCACCCTAGAGTCAGACACGACTGGACTAAATGTCAAGGGGAACCTTTACCTTTACCTCACACATTGTTACATAGAAATAAAAGTGAACAAGTGCCTAGTTTAAATTTGTTAACATAAATTGGAAGGCTATAGTCTGGTCATGCTGACTGGGGAAAGTTTTGACTGGTGAGACATTCTAAAAAATTTTAAACCTTGGTAATGGGGGGACATACAGATCTGCCCTTCCACAGTGGTAAAGAACTATTGGGGGGTACTGATACCTTTAGCATTTTTTGCCTGATGTGATTACCTCACTTTCCCTCATGGTAGAAGGAAACCCATTTGTGTGTTTTAGACAATAGCTAACATGGCATTGACAAGGGAATATCTGTATGGAAAGTTAACTTGCACACAGTGTGTAAAGTTGGGGTATAACATGTATATGTTTCGTTTCGTGTATAAAATGAAAAGAAAGCTATGACAGGAACCATGCTGGAACACACCGAACGTGAATTTAGTCCACAGCTTAGAGGCAATAGCATGCTACTATTTTTGCTTACCAGCAACTAATGTTCACTGATGTACTTCCTCTGAGTCTGGGGGGTTATATATAACCATCAAGCTGACAGACTCCATGAATGTATCTAAAGGCCTGTCCCAACTGGGTGTGGGATGGATCAGGCCACAAAGGGTCTGTTGAGGTTAGACAGCGGAATGATGTGCCATTTAGCATGCTCCTCCCATCCAAACAGCAAATGACCCCTTGTAGCCTGGTCAGCTGTCCATTAAGCATGTCCTCTGATAGTCTGTGAAGGGTCAGGGGATGTTTTTAACATCACTGCTCTTTCTCTCTGTCAGTGCTATTCCATTGTCTCCTTTCCCTCCTCTTTGATCCCTTCCCTTGCTCTCCCCCAACTCTCTCAGAATCTGCAGCCACGATGGCAGCGGCTGCTGGAGGCTGCCATCTCCTAGCTAAACAATGAGTGTGCCCTACCTGCAAGGCTCCCTCTTTTGTCAGTTCCACTTCCAAGCCTTTCCTTATTAATTTGTAAGATCTGAAAGGGACTGCAAGCATGTTTGGTCGAATGCCCTTAGATGCCTCTCTGACGGAAGGGTTAGCAGTGTAAGTCTTGGCATCTATGTACCGTACATTCAGCTGACACCTCCTTCAGACTTTTCTGGTCAGCATAGGAAGGGCACTGGTGAAACCAATGCATATGAGAATGTTTAGGGATGGGACTAGTATCTGCATCCTCATTCCCCCACCAAAAAGCACAAGTAAATAGTTCCTGAATAATTTCCTGCATAGTTTCTTGAATTTGGAGCCCTGCAACAAAATATGATGGGGGGTGCAGATGGGCCAAATGCTTCAGTACTTTTTTTTTCCCCAGATAGGAGGCTCTCCAGTTTCAGGAAGTTTCTTTGCCTGAGAAGAATCCTTGAAGGTGCAGAATATCAACGCTTAGCTTGCCTTCATTGTTCAGGATATGTGCAAATCTCGGGTGGTGAGATAGCTTAGAACAGGGAGATAACCTTCCCACCTGAAGAAATCCTGTGTTCTCTTCTTGCTCCTCTCTGTGCATCAAGACATAACTTTTTGTTTAAACATTTTAAACCATTGTTTTTGTTACTTCCCTATATCCCTGGAACCTACCAATATCTTCTTCTCGTGAGCAAATGGTGCAGGAAAAGATGTGATATCCCAAACAATGTGTGCAATGTGATATGGTAAAATAAAAGGTCCATAATGTATCTTTTGAGAAAACACAGAGTTTGTGAGTTTAACACCTTACTATATTGGCAGGATTGTTCTAGAATATACACAGGCATGGCATTTCATTCATGCATTCATTCATTCAATTTCTACTCCACTTTTCAAGTACAGAGTAGTGCTCACGTATCTTATACACACCGTAAAACAGAATAAAAGAGGCAGATTTTTTAAAATGTAGTCATAAAGCCATTAAAATAATTTTTGTTTAAAACAGTTAAAATCATCACAATAAATACTGCAGCAATTCATAAGCTTGTTTAAAAAGATGTGTCTTCAGCCATTCTTAAAAGCAGCAAGAGTGGAAAATGATCAAAACTCTGTAGGAGACAGAATTTTTGGTGGCTCCAGCAGCCAATTTTCTGCCCTCAGGACTCCAGTGGTCACCCAAACTACCAAAAATGCTTTAAAACAAAAAGAACAAAATTGTAAGTAGATCGAAGTCCATCTTCACCTGTGGAAAAATCTTTCTGTCTCTGTTTTTATTTGAGGACTGCATCTTACTTATTGCCTTTGTGGTGTGATACAATAAAGGCTCTGGACATAGTGAATTTTGGAAGCTGTGTGTCTTCAGTGAAATCCTGGGAATTATTTTGCTATGTGACTCAATGCATTGTTAGCAAGCCAACATCTGTAGAGGCCTTCTATAAAATGGGGAAATGTTTCAATGAGTTGCCTCTATTTCTGTGCTCAAGAGCATGGCATATTAAACAGTACTGTATAGCTGTGCCTCTGCAGGGCTGCAATTGTTAAAGTACTGGAGCTTTGTGAACCTTTGAAAAAGGAGGGCTCTTGTCAAGTCCCATCAGTGCAGGCTTCCTGTGTCCCTTATGGAAAGGTCAGACTGTCAGATTTCATCAGTCCCTCAGTATTGTCTCTCCAAAAAATGTCTGATAGGGTTTGTCAGACTAAATAACAAAAGACTTCTGGCAAGTATGCATAAATACATTGTCTACAACCATACATTGGGCTTAGCTCTACAGTCCACACATTACATATTGACCTGTTTGAGTTCTTGCTGTCTTGTTCTGCTTCTGAATGAAAGAGCTTTAGTTTGGAACTCATCTCCACAGTCAGCAGTGGCAGGTGAAAATCTGCCTCTTGTATTTTGAAATGTCCCTGTTCACCTCTGTATAGTCCCACTTCTAGATTTCTGCTGCATGTACAGCAAAACAACATGTGATAAGAGTGATTTTTCTTGGTCCTCTCCTGTTAGTTTATGATGTATAACAGCAGTTGGCTTTGTCTCAAGTATGTCACCAAAACAGAACAGGATGACAATTCTTTCTTGACCCTCTGTGATATAAGCAGCTCAGTAAATACAAATGTGGCTGGTGATCTAGGTATCACATGTAGTCTCAGGTGCTGTCAAAGGATTTAGCATCCTAGGAATTTGCTTTCCTTTTGAAATGCTGCTGTTCCTTCTCTCTATAAAGATAAGACCACCTTTGTATCGGCTGTGCTGAGTGAAGTCTTTGAATGTGAAACAGGGCAGTCAGTGGTCTTTTAGATCGTTTGTGAAGCTCTGTGCCATAATTACGTGAATTATGTAATATTTGCATATAGCATAGTTT